AAAATCTCTGAGCAGACAACCTTATGACAACTTTATAAAGGGAGAAGTAACATGTGGAGTCAGCACGTGGTAATTCCAGTGAGGTCACTGTAATGATACCAGGAATTTCACTAGCCAATTAAGACCCAAGATTAAAGAAATCATGATGGTGTAACATGGACACGACACAGTGTGAGATTTGGAATAAAATCATATTCACGATAAACACAACACTTTAATCACTCAAAGCTGTTAAACAATTTCTGTTAGGCAGCCAAATGCAACCCTCAGCACCAAGTGAGATTCAAACCCCACAGGAATGCTCAGAAACTCTATATAAGCTCCGGCCCCTGAGTTCATCCAGACACTTCTTTTGGCTTATTCGCTGTGCTGAGCTTGGTGAGTAAGATTTTTTTATTTCTTTCTATTTATTTAACCGGAACCTATATCAGAGTAGATGTAGAAGATTCCTATAGGTATGCTTAGATTTTCAGCAGCATTAAATCCTTTCTGTCTGTAACTACTCTTAGTGAAAGCATTGGTAAGTGCAGGATTTTGGAGACTGTGTGCAAGTGCAGAAAAATCTGAGAAACAGACTGTTCTAAGCCAGTGAGAAGCTTAAAAATCACAGTTATTTCAGATAATTATTTTCATATCTCTCAAAATTTAAGATAAATGTAATAGATGGCCACCATTTCACCTGTGTTCGGTGGCATTCAGGGAGACATAAAAAAACCCCTCTTATTGAAAGCAAAACCACATCTAATGTGGGGCTCTTTCCCCACTTTGGGGCACTCTGTGACAGACGACACTGAGGTTCCTACATTGTTCTTCAGGGTGTGTGCTTGCAGGAAGTGTCAGGCACATCCATGCGAGTCCAGAAGGAAGACACCTGTGGAGTCTGGTCATTCCTGGGGTAGCCTTCTACAGTCAGAAGCTTTGGATCCCTGTGCTCAGCTAGTGTTAATCAAGTTGATCAAGGCGGCACATAAAACATATGCTATAGCACAGGACAGCACAATATAGTAATTTCTCTCATATCAGTATTTTGAAATATATCGCATAAACCCTCTGCCTTGTTTTCAGTCCTTTCCATCTCTATCTGTTGCAAACCGATCTCCACCCCTGCAAGATGTCTTGCTACGACCTGTGCCCACCGAAAACCAGCGTCGCTGTCCCCCAGCCCATCGCTGAGAGCTGCAACGAGCTGTGCGCCCGCCAGTGCCCTGACTCGACGGCCCTCATCCAGCCGCCCCCCGTCGTCGTCACCTTCCCCCGCCCCATCCTCAGCTCCTTCCCCCC